AATAGCTACCTCTATATACTTAAAAAAAAAAAAAAAAAAAAAAAGAAGTGTGGAGGGGAGACTTCTCCCTACCTCTATATACTTAAAAAAAAAAAAAAAAAAAAAAAGAAGCGTGGAGGGGAGACTTCTCCCTATATTAATGACATTGAAATCAATGGTGAGTGCCTCTCATCAGAAGCCAGAAGTATTGTGAGACTGTATATTAAGCATCCTGAGTTTGGGATGAATCTCCAGCTGCATGTAAATGCACCGTAGTAGAATTACAGAATAAGTGGAAATAGTGCTGAATACAAGATAAGAATAAACCAATTCAAGTATACTTCCCCTTCTGGAGGAAAGCAAAGATTTCCTTGCCAGCTAAAGAGAGGGTGGAAGCTTATTACAGTTGGTTACTCTGGCATATGCACAGTAGCAGTGGAGGTATCTCATGACAGTATTGACCATGGCTGCTCATTTTCACTTGTGCTGATTTACATGCTTTGCATTTAGAGTGGTCTGTCAAACTGACACTAACTGAAACTTAAATGGATGACTTGGAGTGTATATGAGAACTTGATTTGTATCAAAGATATTGATCTAAGCTTTTTCGATCAGAGAACTGTTTAGTGATATCTTCTTGATACATCTACTGAAGTTAATAAATTCAGGAGCTGAAGCACTGTAGCAACAATTAGAGTCTTAGGCTCTCAACTGCAGAATTTATCAAGTAAATCCACTATACTCATTCTTCCAAATTAACCTAATAACATCAGACTTGCCATGCATATTCCTTTCTGTTCAAAAGGAAAAGTATAATGTAAGGTGCTACTTGTTCTACAGAAAAGTAGTAATGGGAAATTGATGCTAGTGGTTACTGTGGTAGTTGCAACTTCTCTGCTCCCATGGTGTTAAAATTGAGCTCTAAGCAAAGTAGGAGCTGGAGAACAAGAGAAGCCAGAAGTGAACAGTACAGTTCTATACTTTAAAGGAATAGGGCCTTTTCTTGTTGTTTGGGTGTTGATGGATTGCTAGCCAAAAATGCAGCACAATTTCGCAGACTAATCTCGTGGTTCCATGCATCGTTGTGGTCAATACTGTCACCTCAGTCTCCTCAAAGTTGTTTCACAGGGGAAATAAATATCCTGTTGAAAACGAACAGACATACAGCTGTCTGAGTTAGTTTTGTTATCAAATCCCTTTTTCAGTGCAGTTTGTCATCAACTAATGCTGTGGGGTTTGGAATATTCTTAGGGAACTAAGCAAAAACCCAAGTTTTGCTGCGTGGGCCAAGTTCAGTGTATTTTAACTCCTGTCCTCTAGGCAATAATGTTTTAAATGATTGTTATGAAAAGTATCAATGGTCTGGATTGAAATTATAGTTCAAGAACTTTGTTACTGGTGCAGACATGCATAAATGTGTCAGCTGAGGGATAATGATCCCACTGTTCATGGGAGCTAGTGGCAGAGCAAGCATTTGTTCTTGTGTCAGAAACCTTAAACTCAGAGAAGTGTTCGTTTGTTATGGTAAATTTCTAGTAATTAGTTTGATTCATTCTTGGGCTTCTCTAAGCCTGCTTCTCTGATGCATTAATTTGCAGGGGGAAATAGCTTTGCAATGAGTGAGATGCAGAAATGTGATTTGATTAAAATAAGGAATCATTTGTTGAATATTGTTGTCAGCAGCTGATCATTGATCTGTATAGCTTTTAGACAGGGTGCAAGTACAATGAGTAAACTGTATTTCTAGCCTTTGTTTTGTTCTTAACTTATTTAAAGCAACAGAAAAGAAACTGGGAGATAGAAGGAAATTTGCCCAGTGATTATGTGAAAGAAATCAACTAATTCAGAATAGATCCAAGGTGTTCGTCTGCTGCAGGGTGTTATTATAACCCTCTTTTCTATTTGGGTGTATGTTTCTGTTACAAAAGCTACCCTTGTGGCTGTGCTGAAATATGAGCTATAAGCTATTTGTTAAAAAACTTTAAATGTATGAATTGCTGTAGAAGTATAGGATGGTTGTCTGCTACAAGATAGTTGATAGTGAACTGATAGACATTGCTGCTGTTCATTGTATGATGGGAGTTTTTGTGCCATTGAAGACTACAGTTTCCTGCATGTAAGCTGTTGATCAGCTAGTTCTGTGCTGATTGTTAGAAATTTTTTTTTTTAAATATTTTGTTGGACTCTATAACCATGTTAAACATATACAAATACATTTTGGAATCAAGGCAAGAAGTGTTCTGAATTAACCTTGGCCTCGCAGTTCTTGTCATTCATCCTTTCCTATTTGACTTTTTCATGAAGCCAGAAGTGTTGAAACTACCTTTCATTGTAGGGCAGCTTATGTAGAAAACTTCATAAACTCGGTTGAACTGATCAGGAAAGTAACTGCAACTCATGCCTGAATGTTTTCTCTCTGGTTTATCAATTTTTCAAATGTCTTTTTCCTCCAATTTATTTTTTTCCACTGACTGAGAAAATATCTGAGAAACATTCATGTGTTCTGAAACTAAGGATTTGTTTTCTGTTGTGTAAGTCCAGTATAAGTGTCTTAATACACTATTGTAGAGGTTCAGTGAGAAAATGAAAAGGATATACACATAGCTTTCCTGCATTTAGAAGCACTAGCTTTTTAAGAAGTTCTGAACCTTGGCAATTTTTTTAAAAAAAAGCTGTAAATAGTAGGTGGGTTTTATACAAAATGTACTAAATGAGAGTTGGAGTCTACCAGTTGTAGAATAAAATATGTAATAAGGAGCTATGGATATATCTGGCTTGAAAATAACTCTGTCAACTTGCTATGCATTTTTCAACACTTCACAGAAAGTCATGCAATTCCCTATTGGTAATGACAGGGAATATTGCAATTAGCTGATGCTTTAATGTTATGAAAGTAAATATTCACATGTATCTCTGGTTTAAAAGAAAATAATTCCATTGCTTTACTTTCAAGTATTGGTGATTTTCTCCATTAACAGTAGACTCTGCCCATGCTTAGATTTTTCCAGTTATTATTTGGCATATTCACATAATAGCTCAGTCACTGTAGTGCTCTGTTTTATGATTTCTGGTTGATAAGACCTTGAGTAAAGCATGTTTTTATGTGTTTTGAGTGTAGTGCAATTTCCTTGTGTGTGTCTGTAAATGCCCACTTCGACATTAATGCATAGTTAAAATCCGTTTTCAAAGGGAGATTTAAGCCTTTTGGAAAAGTTTTAAATCAGAGGTATAGAACCATATTTTAGTAGACTTCTAGTACATCATATTTTGGAATTATTGTTTATCATTGTATTGTGGTGTTCATGACATATTGTGAATTTTAACACAATTTTTAATGTGAATGCAGTGAGTTTTGTAAGGATTTTTTTCTTCACTGTATAATAGGGATCTGTTTTGTTGGTGGTTTGATTAAAAAACGAAACAAAAACCACAACACACAAAACCAAAAAGGGGGGAGCAGTTGGACTACTTTGAGAGCTTATTCCATTTCCTAAAATCTTGTGTTTACAGTCTTGTATACTTTCTTATATTTAGTTAATAATATAAACGATGTGAAAGCAGCTTTTAGTTATCTTCTGTGTTCCCTAGTGTGAAGTGCCGAAGGACAAGATAAGGGCATGAGGTGAAAAGCCCAAGATTGTAATGGGATGGATCAGACGTGGAATGGCAATTTTCTGGAGTGTAAAGTAAACATTAAGTAAATGAGAAGGATAATCTTAGCAGTCACTGGGAAGGGAGGAGCTCTTCAGAGGAGTATTAAATGACTTGGGAATTAATTAATTTGTGGTGTACCACTAACTCCTAAACCAAATACCTCTATCCTCCAAAACAATAGGATTTGGTATTCGATTTTTTTCCTTTTCTATAAGAATGCAAATTTTAAAATGCCTTTAAGATGTAAATTTAATTAATTACCAAGTGACTGAAGCAAATTCTAGCACTGTGCAAAATTAGTGCTTTACTTTGAAAATCACAGAATCATAGAATGGTTTGGGTAGGAAAGGACCTTAAAGATTACTTAGTTCCAACTCCCTGCCCCGTGGGTGCATGGACGTACAGTGGTAGACGCAGCATTTTTCTATCATTTTTCATGCCCTTGATAAACTGGTGCTCTTCCAACATCCAGAAAGCTATACTTATGGTTTTATGTCCTAGAGACTTTAAAAAGCCCTTAATTTATGAACTGACATAAGGAAATTTTTCTTAGAAGGCAATAAGTTCTGAGAAACTAACATACGCTTTTAGGCATGATTCAGATTTCACATTGCTGCCACATCTGTGCTTGAGTGTTGTAACTTAACACACAAAATAATTATATTTGTGACAGACACTCTGCAGATCTTTCTCTTCATATTTTTCTGTTGGACTGCTTGAGTGATGGTCCTGGTTGCTTGATGGTAAAAACATAGTGAATGTGTATACACTTTTGAGTTATTGTTATTAAAAAAAATCATAAATAAATTTTATTCTAACAGTACTACACACAAGGTAGATTTCTAGTCTAAATATACTGGGAGTATTTTTGTTACTTTTAATGCTCCAAATGCTACAAAATCTTTCTGAAAGATCAAATTGCTAATCTGTATGCAGGCTATAGAAATACTTTAGCCTAGCTGTTAAAAATCTGCCAATTTATTATTTAATACTGATCTTACTGCTTGTAACAAGAAATTGAACCAAAAAAAGGAGATTGAGAACACTTAAGGGCAAAGTATTTTTAGAAGGAGGGGGACTAAAATGCAGTGCTCTTTTCTTGTATTTTTTTACACAGCTTTTATGTTTTAACTGCACCCTGGAAAGAACTATGATGTGCATCAGGTAAAGATCAAATTTTAATCCAATGAAGCCACTCATTTAGGCAATATCCACTTACCTGTGCTTAAGGGATATGTACTGTACATGCAGATTTCTCCTTGATTAGCAAAAAATCCCACACTGATAAACCAAGAAGTTCTTTGTGGGGTAGTATTTTTGTTTGGTTGTTTTTTCCCTTCTTTAATTAACTGCATTTATTTTTGTAGGCATGGAGAAATATAGCTCTGGTACATGATCTCTACAGCAAACAGCTATTCACTTGAAGTGTGCACTGGGAACAGATTTAAGCAACAAGGATTTTTTTGAAGAAGCTGGACACAGAAGACAGAACGGGAGCCTCCCAGGGTACTCCAAGACTGAAGTCCACATGTGAGTCCTTTTGAATATTTTCAAAAACTCAAATGCATTAGTTATAATCTACACTGATAAGGAATGGCAGGGAGAAAAGTGAGGTCTCTACCGGGTCACCATTTTTTTGCAAAATCTTGGCAGTTATGATGGGGAGTGAGATGGAAATGGCAAAATTCAGTCAGGTTTCCTGGAAGTCCAGGCACCATGATCCACAGCCTCAGTATAACTGTTACCCATACTGTGTTAGAGATTTGTGTACTGAAGTTAATATAATAGCTTCTGGGAAAGCTTTTACAGTCAGTCTCAAGGCAGGAGCCCTGAGTCTTCAGGTACTTGCAACCCTTGTTGGTCTGAGGAAAAGTGGATTGCAAAGTTTTATTTGAGCTGAGACCTTCAGCAAGGATATTCGTTTTCTTCATCTGTATTGTACTTTTTGCTCCAGGTAGGATGTAATTTCTTTTTTTTTTTTTTTTTTTAATTTTTGAAAGCTCTACTTTAAATACTCTTCTAAATACTGCTGCAAAATGAGGACAGCACAATTTCAGCAATGATGACTGTAATATGGGAAAACAAATAGGTGAAAAGCTGAAACTGCAAAGTGTTAAAGTGAAGAAAAATAGCTCTCATGGCAAGGAGTTCTTAGAAGAAAAACATTCTTTTCCAAATAGTTATCTCTGGCTCATTGCAGATAACCTTTCCTTTGACAATCTGGAAAGGATCTTTATACCCCACAGGAAGCATTGTATTTTGAAAGCTTTTCTGAGCTTAGAGGATGCTGAGATGCTGTCAATACACAAGTAACTATATTGTGTTTATTTACATTGAAATTGAGGGGGAGGGCAGCAAGGCTTTGCCAAGGGCTTTGAGGAGAAGCATGTAGGACCAAGGAAACTCATTCTCAGTGATGTGAAAAGAGTGTGTGCACTTTAGTGACATCACCTAAGGAAGCAGTGATGACTTGGTTTTAATTTTCTAGCATTCATATGGATAAAGCTCATTACCTTGCCTGTAGTATTAGCATTTTTAAAAAGCTGGAAATCTCACCACCTGTCAATTAATTTATCTGCTATTGATTTATATGTGTGGCACATTGGAGCTACAGGCTTCATTTGCTTATGCTGTCACCATGAAATCAATGGTGGAAAAAATGAGCACTCTTATAAAAAAATCTTTTGGGTTTATAGGTCCTAGTAATAAATAATTTTGTTGGATTGATAACTGATTATTACGATGAGCGTAGGTTCACTTACCAGCTCTCATTCCTTGGCAAAGGCTCTGATTATATAATTCTGTCCACTGTATCATTGGAACATTTGAATTGCAAATTGGCTTGTGTTCAAAATCTATCTCGTTCAACACCCTACTTTTCTGGGACTTTATCTTCTGATTAGATCTCTTCTAGTTATCTGGAAGCCCAAATATCATACCTTTTTGGTGCTAACTAGGGTAAGGGACCATAATAGAAGTTGGCAACTACCCAACTCTTCAGGCTGTAAAATGCTTGGTTTCAATCAACTGCTTTAGCAGTTGGTTTCCTTGTTTAATATTTTATGGAGATCTGTATCTATTTTGTTGAAACTTGAGAAGAAATGGTTGCTAAAGCTGTTTAAGCAATCAGAGGTGACTGGCTGTTTAGGGAATTGGAGGTCGCTGTGGCAAATATGAAAAAAAGATCAAAATTGGTATGTATTCATTACTTATACTCCATTCTCATTTAATTTAGAGGACTTTCTCCTTAAGTCTTAAGATCTACCACCCTGAATTCTGTTTAATAACAACTGCAGAGCTTATAAGTCAGAAAAGCTGATTAAGTTTTTACTGAGAAAGACTAAGTTTAGGGAGTTTAAAAAAGCTTGTAGCTTTTGCATTAACCATTGACACTACACATATAGCACAAATTTTGCTTGGGAAGTGCCATGACCCAGTTGGGGGGGAGTAAATAATGAAAATTATAGTGACTTTTTAGGCAGATAAAAGGCTAAAGCTGTTCTTTGGCAAACCTACAAAATGGCTGATCTGGATGCTGCACTTGGCTTTCTGCATATTCATATGATTGTGCTAAGTAAGTTAAGGAAGGAGGCAGCTGCTGCTATGTGCAGCTGTGATCTGAAATCACAAATCTGTTGCCTTACCATCACTTAAATAGTTTCCTTGCTCCTCAAGTTTGGCTCACAATTCAGTGGTTCCACCCAAGAAATAAGATGTGTTATAATCAAGGTAAAGACTTGAACTCTCCAGATGACTTACTAGTAAAAATGTGAAGATAGGACTGAGTTCTGGACTCACGAATACTCAAACCCAGTCTAGTCCTTGAGCAGGAAGAAGAAAGCTGGCTGCTTTTTAAAACAATTTGCATACTCTGCTTAGACATAAACTGGTAGCAGTCCTCTCCTTAGCATCTCTATTCCTTTCTAAATTGTGATGACTAGGTTGCATACTATTCTGTGGTAAAAGATCTTTGAGACACTACAGATGTCAATTTTTTTTTTTTTTTTAATCCTTATGAGACTGCCATGTACTAGTGATCCTTCATTTCAGCTCTTGAGATCTCACTGTATGGATTTCTTAAGCAAGTTAATTGAACTGTTTGCTTTTTGAGATTATTTGGATGGAAAAACATGTTCATTTGATGTGTATAGATGAATAAAGCAGTATGAATTACCCTGTGAATCCTAGTCATTTTATCCTAATAAAAATTAAAAACTAGATTTCAATAGGCATGACTTGGTTTAATAGATATTTAATTAGTTTAGGAAAACTGGTAAATTGGAAATAAACTGCTTTCCCCCCCCCCTTGTATCACTTGTGAGTAATTCACAAGCGTAAAGACTAACAGAGCGCTGATGCTGGTGCCAAATATGTTTGTCTCAGCCAAGCACAGCTCAAATTCATAATGAGAGCTTTCCAAGCTGCTCAATGTGTTCCTTTTCACATGCATTTGACGTTTTTTTGGCTTGACTTTGTTCTCGTGTAGAAGTATTCTGTGCAGTATTCTGTATAAATATTCAGGAGTCTTGCAGTGTTGGAAGAGTAAACCTCATGCTTGCAAGTTACAAGGAAAATTTTCATGCGTTCTGTTCTACAATAGAAACTCACATGTACAATACTATTCAGTTAAACATGCAAGTATTGTTCAAGGAATAGCCTAATATTTTTTTCCCCTCTTATCTCTATACCAGAAAACACATTTGTGAACATGTTCACACTCTACTTAAATGTTTTCTGGTTCTCCTTAATTTTGCTCTCCCCTGCATCCTTCTTTTTTTTTTTTTTTTTTTTTTTTTTTTTTTTTTTTTTAAAGAAGCCAGCTAACAAAGTTTATAAATTATTTTCTTAGGAAACTAATTTATTCCTTTAGTATCAGATTCTCCGATTCATGCAGGATCAGTACAAGGCATAGGCACAATCTGAGCTGTAAAATCTTGGCCTCTGAAGTTGGTGGGAATTTTGCCAGTGAACAATGGGATCAGGTTTTCAACCAAAGCATTTGAACTGATTTAAATCATACCTAGACCTTGTGGAGCTTCCCTGCACAAAGCTAAACTTCTTCTGGAGGACAGAATAATAAACAAATATGAATCCTGACATGCAGTAGTTTCTGGCAGATGAGACTGGAACCCAGCAGAACAGAATTCTAAAATATTATTTTAATCAATTTATTGAACTGATTTACATATAGAGATGCCACAGGGGGTAGGGGGTTTACAAATTTAGGTACATGTAAATTGGAAGAAATGTCTTCTTATCTTTTAACAAGAATTCTTTTTATGTTTTAAAAATATATCAACCTTGCCATAGCTATCATGCTTACTGCATGAGAGCTATCATTGAGTTTATGGCAGTGTTACTAGTATGTACCACACTTCTCTCAGCTCAACTTTAAAATTACTTTAATGTGGTTTGTACTTAAGGTAATTTCCTTTTATTTTTGTGTTTTAACATGGGGCTTTTTTTTTTTTTTTTTTAGAGTTAGAGAACTTTAATTGAACTTCAGTTTTTCACATTATCCCTAAATGAGTCTGAATGGTACCACGAACAGTATTAAAGATTTTCACCTCTGATCTGTCTTGCAGACAGATATTGACTAAATAGCATCTTCATGTACACAAAGCTATTTGATATAAATGCGTTTATTTAATAGGGTTGCAATGGATAGTATGTATCTTAGAATACAAATTTGAGATTGAGCTGTTGAGTATGAAGCTCAAGTTAAAAGATTTTATATATGTATGTAATAACTCACATATTCAAGAACTACCTAGTATGACCCTACTGTATTTTCTCTGTACCTGTTGTTACTTCCAAATAGTAATGATTCTTCAGTACTGGAGTCGAACCATCAGTGTGATCTTCCTGAATGCCATAATTTTCTGAGAATACAAAGACCAGTTCTAGATCATTATTTTAAACAGAGGTTAGATGTTCACTATAGGACATTATTTGAGATAAATTTTCTTATTATTGGGGATGCTGGTATGAATCTTGGACTTCCCAAACCATGCTTCTGTAGGCACGTAAAGTGCCGTTTCACTCTTGCTAATCTGAGTAAGTTCTGGCTAGTAAACCAAATGTGCTGATTAACAAGCTTTGTAATTTTTTCTGATTTTGGATTTTGTTCATCAGATGAATGAACTAGAGCTCACTTAATTGCTTTTTACTCCAAAGTTTATGGTGGAAGCTTGCTGTTTTCTGACTGATTTTTCTGCTTAGACTGTGAAAGTATTTAATTTGATTTACTGCTTGGCTCTTAATGAGGGGTTCTTGCTGTAAATTATCTGTCTAGATGCCATGTTTCTGAAATTTTTCTCCACTAAACTGAATCCCTTAGGCTTCCTGTCACGTGTCTCCATAAACCCTTTGGTCTGATGCAGTTTGCAGTATCAGTCACTAAAGCTGGAAGCACCACTTTTACTTTCGGAAAAAATGCTACATTCTGTATTAGAGTCAGCCCTAAATAAATCCATGTCATCATTCTAAAAAAAAAATGTGAGAGGGACTATTTCAATGAAGTGCTTGGG